AATATGCGTTTTTGCTGGCTGTAGCAGCGCTATAGCGCTGCACAGCAAAAACGCATAAAAATCAGCGGCACTACCACTTCATCAAGACCCAGTACTTAAAAGAGAGGGGTAGATCGGATACGATAAGGTCGGATATGATAAGATTCACATCTCGGAACAAGATATCCAGGATTTGCCGAACCGACTAGATTCCACTTGTGGTTTTCTTGTGGATGCCCATCTAAACCTCTCACAACTTTCCTTTTTCTCCTCCCTCAATTTCCTCAAATTTTATCCTTCGATCCCTCTCCTTTATCTTACTTAACTCCACTTGTAATACCTTATCTTTTTTTCTTCCAAAGTTATTCTTGCTATAGGGCTGTGCCTTACTTTTGCAACAACTATCATTTTTTTACTTTATTTTTATTTTGAATTTTAAACAAAAAAGTTACTTTTCTGGAGAAACGGCGCCGATGAGAACGTTTTCACGCAATGTCAGGTTCTTTTTATCTCTCAGGTTAAATACGCGACTTCGTAGCGCCGATTTGTACTTGTCTGTCGTGCCACGATGAACCTGAAATGACATACAATAACACTACCAGTCAACTTAGTGTAGAATGGAACTACAAATTTATTCTGTGCTAACTTCCCCTCTCCGCTCCTTCTGATTCTTTTGAAATATGCTGACTGCCAGAATGAATAATTGTTGCATCATGATCCTCTCCTAGGTAGGTCGTGCCTTGGCGCGAAAGCGGCCTGTATAAGGCCGCCGTATCTTTATTGAAAGTAGTATTTATCTAGCGTAGTGTGTCGACCAGTGTCAATCCCGTCTAGTATTGTCGTCCGTTCCCAAGTAGTGTGCCGACCAGGACGACTTACGAAGGACGAGCACCCCGCTGCAACCCCAAGTAACTGTCAAGGAACTGACGACTCGACCTGAAAGGCCGCAGTACGCGGTCAGTCGACTGGAGCGCCCGGACCGGTGAACCCAACATAACTATGAATTGTGCTAGTAAAATTAAAAATCACTTCCAAAAAAACTACAAAAAACCGCTATGTAGACAAAAATTAAAGTAGTATTCGCACCTCGAATAGTTTTTGCTCCGTTCGGATGGCCAGATCTTCGGGATCAAGCGTCCCGACCGGGAGTTCCCTCGAAAGCAACGCATCCAAAATCATTGTTGCGCACTTATTTCTTATCTATAAAATATGAATTACTGTAACGCATAGCGCTAATAAATCAAGTACTGCAACTTAGAAAACAAAGCAAACTATAATACCATACTTCGTCGGGATTAAGTTGCTTCTTGACTGGTGGGGCACTTGGTCCCGAAGAACTATCGGTGGACGGAGTAGAGTTCTTCTGGGACGTTACCGGTTGCGGTAAATGGCTTGAATTCCCATTCGTTTCATTCGAAGGCACAGTCTTTTTGGGTTTCGATTCAGCTTTAGCGGCTACACTGGGCTTACCATTTGTCTGGCTTTCTAACAAAACTTTCCATTCCTGAAAAACCAGCTCCAAAGACAGTTTCTAAGATGTTCCTAAGATGTTTCTTCATTTTGATAAAACAGCCAGAGATTCTTTTAAAATTGCGGGTAGCCGCTGCAAAATCCACGAGATAAACGTTTATTAAAGATATTTGGATGAGCTACTACCCACAACTTTGTGGCTGGTAACTTTCCTAACTATTGTAAGCAATACTATATCATTTGATGGTCATCTTGCTGGTCGTCTTGTCGCTCTGTCATTAAAAAATCCAGTGTTTCTCTCCAAAAAGAAAGCGTAATAAAACCTGCTAGAATTACCAGTAAGACGGTCAGACCCACGCAGAACAAGGGGGAAACCAGGCGTATGTGAATGATGATTTTAAAAACGAAGGATCGCACATGGAATTAGAACGTGC